CTGCGGGCTCTCGGTGCAAGGCTCATCCACACCACCTCCACCTCCTCCTCCTCCTGCTCCTCCTGCTCCTCCTCCATCTCCTCCTGCTCCCCTCCTCCTCCTCCTCCTCCTCCTCCTCCTCCTCCTCCTCCTCCTCCTCCTCCTCCTCCTCCTCCTCCTCCCTCCTCCTCCTCCTCTCCTCCTCCTGCTCCTTCCTCCTGCTCCTGCTCCTGCTCCTCCTCCTCCTCCCTCCTCCTGCTCCTTCCTCCTCCTGCCTTCGCCTGCCTCCAGCTACCTCCAGCTTCCCATGTCCCTCACGATCTGAATCCAACTCTCCTCCTCCTCCTCCTCCTCTTCCTTGTCCTCCTCCTGCTCCTCCTCCTTCTTCTCCTTATCCTGCTTCGTCTACTCCTCCTGCCTCTCCTCCTCCCCCTCCTCCTGCTCCTCCTCCTCCCCCTCATCTTGCTTTTCATCATTCTGCACCTCGTCATCCTGTTCATCCTCCGTTATCGTCTCCCTTCCTCTCTCCTCTCCTCTCCTCCCTTCCTCGTACCCCGCCCCTCCTCAAGCTCTCTCTTCCGCACTTAATCTTCCTTCCTCATCCTCCCCCCCAACGTCCCTGCTCGATCTTCCTTCCGTCGACAGTCCTGCCAAGCATGCGCCAAGATCACTCCTCCAGCCTTCTCTTGTTGGTCCCTCCTACTCCCCTTCCTCCTCATCATCAGAAGCAGACTCATCATCAACATCATTAGCATCCTCGGTCGTTCCTCATTCAGCCAATGCCTCCCTCGTCCCGCCTCCTTCCTCTTAGTCGGTATCGCTCATGCAATCCTCTACATTCCCGCCTCTCAACTCATCGATACTCTGCATCCTCCTCATTCCCCAATCAGTGCTTGCACTGAAGGGGTCCTGGCGGAAGTTGAAAGATTTGGCAAAAATTCCCCGCCGATTTTGGTGGCAGACTGGGTTCCCCGGTTCCCGGGTTCCCGGTTCCGGGTTCCCGGGTTCCCTGTTCCGGGTTCTGGCCCGATTTCGGAGGGCGGCGAGGTTCCGGGTTCCCGGGCTCCTGATCGATCTTCTTATCGATCGGTCTCACCATCGATCTCATTACCGACTTCTCGATCGATCTCACCATCGATCTCACAATCGATCTCATTATCGATCTCACTATAAATCTCACAAGCGATCTCACTAGAGATCACAGGGCGAGCTCGAGATCGATCTCACGATCGATCTCATTGAGTCGATGTCACTCTCGGTCTCACGATCGGCCTTACAATCGTCCTCACTATCGATTACACTATGGATCTCATTATCGATCTCACAATCGATCTCAAGATCCATAATATCAATTTTCAAATCATCCACTGATTGGGGTTTTCTAGGGTGTAATCTTATTATTTGTCCTCCTGCTGCTCCTCCTCCTCCTTTTCCATCACACTCCTCTTCCCCCCTCCTGCTTTTCCCTCCTCCTCTATCTCCTCATCCTCCTCCTCTTCTCATCCTCTCCCATCCCTCATTCCACCGTGCCTTCCTTCCCTGGTTATTCCCTGATCCTCATCCTTCTAGCTCTGTATTCCCCCCTCGTTCCCTCCAGCCATCCGTGTCTTGTCGTTCCCTCCTGCTTCTGACCCCATTCATCTTCCTCATTGCGCTCCCTTCTGGAACAAACAAGCGCGCCCTGGAACAACCTGAGACCATCCGAAGCCCGTCAAACCACCCCAGACGTGTGATATCACGCAGATTCACCCTTTGCGTGTCCCTCTTCCTCCTCAGCATCCCCCCCTCCTTCCGCGCTATCTCCGAACGCTCCTCCACCATTACAAAATAATCCAAGAGCCTGCAAGACATTCCCAGAACCAGCTCTTACATCTAACCAATGCATCCGAAAACGTCACCCATCCACCAGCATACGGTCAGGAACTGCTGTTTAGCGTGTCGCCGCGGAGGCCCGGAGGCACGCCATGCCCTGCAAGCGGATAGCGTGTTGCTCCACCCCGCGGGGCGTGGACTCGAAAGGCTCGGGACGCAGACGCTCGGGAATGGGATCGTGGATAGCGTGTCGCACCGAAGCGTGCTGGGCTTGAGACGACGGCGTGCTGGAACCAATGGTTCCCAACAATAGTAGTGATCCGCACCCTCACCATAAGCACTACCATCATCATAAGCACAATACACATCGTAATCGTCATCATCATGATGATCATCATCATCATCATCATCATCAGCAGCATCATCAGCATCATCATCATCATCATCAGCAGCAGCAGCAGCGTCATAATCATCATCAGCAGCATCAGCATCAGCATCATCATCAGCAGCATCATCAACCATCATCATCATCGTCATCATCTGCATAATCATGTTCTTAATCAGCATCGTCATCATCAACATCATACTCATCAGCATGAGTAGAATCCCCAACATCAGCCTCACCATCGACGGCATCAGCATCATCATCATCATCAACGGCATCATCATGATCCCCATCATCATCATCATCGTCATCATCATCATCATCATCATCATCATCATCGTCGTCGTCAGCGGCATCGTCAGCATCATCATAAACATCGTCATCAGCATCATCGGCTACGTCATCGTCGTAATCAGCATCATCAGCATCTTTATCAGCGTCATCATCATCATCATCGTCAGCATACTCATAATCGTCATCGCCACCATCAGCATCCTCACCTTCGCAATCATTATCATTACCATCACCAGCAGCAGCATCGTCAACAACATCAGCGACAGTTTCAGAGCTATTATCGGCATCGGCATCACCACATAATTATCATCATTAGCATCATGATAATCATCATCATCACTATCATGATATGATCCATCAGCACCATGATCATCACCATGACCAACACCACCAGCACCACCATCATCGTCGTCGGTGCTGTCATCATCACCCACCACCACCACCACCACCACCACCATCATCATCATCATCATCATCATCATCATCATCATCATCATCATCATCATCATCATCATCATCATCATCATCATCATCATCATCATCGTCAGCATCATCAGCAGCAGCATCAGCATCAGCATCAGCATCTGCATCTGCATCTGCATCGTCGTCGTCGCAGTTCGTATCCGTCGTCTGCGCACCTTCCTCGTCCACATTATCCATCACCCCTCCTCCAACTCCCGTCCCGCCTCATCATCCCTGCGCCCCCTCCCCTCCCTTTTGCCTCGGCGTCCTCCCTCGTCCTCGATCTTCCCTCGTCCCCCCCCCTCCCCCCTCAACCCTCCCACTACCTCCTGACCCCCCCCCATCCTTCCCCTCTCCCTCCGCCCCCCCCCCGCCCTCCGCTGTCCAGCTCCCTCCTCTTCCGTTTCCTCCTCCTCCTCCTCGTCTTCCGGCCGTGCCTCTCGTGTGCTGGCCGCCGCGTCACAGGAGCCAGCGAGTTTCCTTGAGGCAGCACCTGGGAGCGACAATGCCCAAGAGAGCCACCAAGTGCATGGTGAACCCCTCGGTCTACGCGCATCGCGTGGACACCTGGCTTGGGGGCGGAGGGGGGAAGCCTGCGGCGCCTCTGGGACCAGGGGGGCAGAGTGCGGGGCTGGGCCGCGGCAGCTCTCCACCCCGCGGCCACAGCCCTGCGTCATCAAGCCAGGGCCCCCATCGGCCGACGGCGGGCGCGCGCCCGCCCGCGGGGGCACAGCAGCGAGGCCGGCCATCAGCTCCAGTGCGGAGATCAGCCGTGCGTGATGAGAGCTCGTGGGTCTGATCTTTACATCTTTAGCTTCAGCATGGTGATCCGATCGTGCGAGACGGCAGAGGCAGTGGCAGCGAAAGCTGTTGCCGCAGACGGGGCTTGAGAGAGACTCGTCTCAGCTACGACGCAGAGTTCGGCCCGTGAGAGGAGCGAGCTCGTGGGACAGGTCCTCGGCTACAATGTGGGGATCCACTCGTGCGAGAAGGCAGTCAGTGGCAGCATGCTCCGCCGCTGCACCGGGGCGCGCGAGCCATATCTCCGCTCACGTGCGAAATGTGAGAAGGGTGTGCCCCGGGAGAACTGGCTGGAGCCAGACGCCATCTGCCACAGCGCAGGGGAGCGCGGGTGCGAGAAAGGCGAGCAGCGGCAGGGGGTGCAGGGCGATTTGGGAGACAAATCTGGGGCCTGACGTCATGTGGTACACGGGGGAAAAGAGTACGCGCGAGAAGGAAGCGCAGTGACCGCGAGCACCGACGCAACGGATCGAGGTCAGAGAACTTCGGAAGCCAGACGTCATCAGCTACACTGTGGGTGCCAGCGCGCGTGCGACGGGCGAGCTCTGGAACAGACTGGAGCCATACGCTACCAGCTACACTGGAGGGGCAACCAACGGTGGAAAAAGGCGAGCAGTGGCAACATGGGGCGGCGTCTGACGCCATCAGCTACACCACGGGGGGCACGAGTGGACGAGAAAGGCGAGCAGTAACAGCTTCGGACAGGGCGAACAGATTTGGGAGACAAATTTGGCCCTAACTTCATCAGCTGCACTGGGAGTGCCAGCGAGCGCACGAAGGCCGAGCTCTGGGTGCTAAAAGTAATGCCAGACGCCATCAGCTACAATGCTGGGGTAAGTGGGTGTGACAGTAAGCCGTGGCAGCCGTGGACGGGGCGCAACGTAATTTGGGGCACTTGTCTGGAGCCTCACGTCGTCAGCTACACTGGCAGTGGCAGCAGAGGTGGGAATCAGGACTGGCGCTACGCAGCAGAGTGAGGAAGACGAAGCTGGAGCCCGAGGTCATCACCATAGCGCAATTAGCACTCAACCAGATGTGGAAGACGATGGTAGAACCCACTATCATCTTGGTCGCTACTCTAGAGGTGCGGATGGCGAAGTTGGGGCCTGATGTCATGAGCCACCACGTTAGTTGTACTGCATGCGGGAATGACCGCAGTGAGCAGCATATCAGCGACACCCCCGAGAGCAGCTCATGCGACAAAGGCAGCAGAAAAAGACCCATCAGCTACAACGCTGGGATTGGCAGGTGCGGGTAAGGAACCAGT